GGACACTTATTGCTCCATTTTGATCTTGGGTGGCCTGCATCACACAGGACAAATTATGGTACAAAATCTTTGAAAGCAAAAATTGCTCTCCTTGACTGAATCCACAACTGGCAGTTTGCTGCTGAACTTTACACCCACAGATGATACTGCACACGAGAAAAAATCTAAGGGAAGTGAAAAGAGGGTAACAGAAATATGGCACCCAGGCCAGTCAGCCAATTCTCAACAGATTTCAGTAACTCATGTCACACATGGAGAAGAAAAGAGAGTAGGAACATGCATGTCCACCATGCTCTGAGCAGGGAGAGCTAGGTTTGTGCATATCTTTCAATAATCCCTGCAGTGCATGGTAAATAAAAACGACTTATTACGTTTGTTATGGGAAACTGACTGTTAGGATTTTACCTTCATCTGTGTCCAGTCCTCGTTGTAATGAGTCCTGTCTGCCTTATCTGTGGATTGAAGATACTTGTTTCTAAACTCATCTCCCGCTACACGCAGGTGTTTAGCAAACACCATACTTCGACGGGTCTGTTGGAGTAAGAGCAGATGTTGAGTCAGAAAAAGGGAGAGCTAAAAATGAATAAATGGAGATAGTTTCACATACGTAGAGCATTCAAGATACTCTTCTAGCATCTTTAAAGAGATTAGCACTGGCTTTCTAATCTCATCCTAAATCCTCCAACAAAACGCTCATATTAAGGGAGGATGTGCATGCCGTCTGCTGCAGAATACTCAGGCTGCAGTTCAGTGTATGTAAAAGAGAACACAGATGAATGTGTGAGCCTCCACTGACACGCTTTCTAAAGTGGATGCTTTCTGTATCTGGCTAGTTCGTTATTTAAAGTACTCGTTTCAAATTTCCACGTGTCATATTGCTGTTCTTGCCAACTACCTCCACATTTTGCTTCTGCTCCCTGAATCTAGTGCTGGAGTGCAACCTTCAAGGCAGGGCCAACTGTGTACCTCCCAGGCTAATTTTTTTTGTGATTCTAAGTTTTGGAAAAAAAAAATCTTCAAAAAAGAAACAGAATCACGCAGGGAGTTGCAGTTAAAATACAAGAAAAAAGAATATTTTCCAGAATGTTATAAATATTTTTGAGTCAAATTTTAATTGTTGAGGCAATGTTTAAGTGCCACTGTTAAGAAATGTGTATTAGGGATCCATATGGATTTCATTTCTGCTTTTACAGGACTACGTGTCATGCTCAGAAATGATACGAGTCACGTTTGTCTGTTTGGAAAGTCATTATCTATGGAAAGTTTGTAATTATTAAACTACTGTTTGGTCCACTTCTGAAAAATATGCCACATATCAAGCAAACAGACAGATATTTATATCTTACGGGACTGAGGTCTATGTAATTTGTTTCTTAATATCATGAGTCACTTCCTTTAGAAATTTTAACCATGTCAAGCACCCCATATCATGTTCTATTTTCCTATGGCTCTAACCTCTAACATTGTCAGAAAATTCTTAAAACTTCTCTCATAGGAATTATTTTATTAGACCCTTGGGTCTTTAAACCTGTAGAAATATTGCCATCAAAGAAAGAGAGAGACAGAGCTATGACAGTACAGAGCACTATCAGTTACATTAATTCACAGCAGCTTGTAGACCATCTTTAGCGTACACTGCTGAAACATAAGACTCAAGTTACTTTCAAGAGCATAAAACCAAGGCAAAACAGAAGCACGTATTGGTTATTGAATTTTTATCAAAACCGAAGAGAAAATGTAGAGAAGCTAACTGGAGAATACTCACGTTCCAATAATCTTTCCCTCCGTAGTGGTCATGAAGAAGGTTTTCGGCTCTGTCTAACATCACAGACCTGTTAGAAATTGTAAAACTGAATGTAGTTCCCTGAAGAACAGAATTCACGTTATGATGTTTCTTTATACAGCTGCTAGGATAAGGCACAGACCATGATCTATTTGGAAACAGAACAATGGGAAAGAGTGACATGGTGCCAATCTAAAGCATAGAATGCAAATTGTGACCCTGAGACTGCTGAGGAGAGAATGCAATAATGCCACTGTGTATTGCTGCTCTCTTCCTTTGCAAACGTTACTCTTCAATGGGATGATTCTGCTCTGTCCACTGCCTCTTGACACAGCACTGAAGCATAAAGGAAGAAGAGCTAAACACAGGGTAACAAGTACATTAAGCTACCTGAACAAAGAAGAATTAAGAAGAGCTCAAGGGCATTTCTTCTTAGTTGTTAGCACTGCAATATTTAACATAACATACAGTTATCTGCATTACCTGTCTTTTAGAGTGCAAATTCCTTTTGTAATGATTTTAATGGACCACTGTAACTCAGTGATAAAATGCCACAACAGTGGACACATCTATAAGTTCTTGTTCTTCCCACCTGGCAATGGGCTTGTGGGCATGTGATACAACAGGATGGTAACAGAAAGCAACTCACTGTGCTGAGGTATTTTTCAGAAGGATGGGAGCCACAATAGAGGCAGATCCTTGGACAGACAAGCAAGACACATTTAGGCCCCGTGTTTCTTCATAACCCCAGAACCATCCCCTGAAGTAAGGAAAAAAGTTTTTGTTTCACAGGCTTGTACTTTAAATTAATGCCATACAACTAATGAAACAAATCAGCAGTACACCCTAGAAAGGTGATACATAAGGTAAATAAACCCCACAGCTCCTTTATAGTGTTTTTGTATGAAATTATGACTTCCTAAAATTAGATTTCCTAATAACACTACGACATTTTGATATTAATGGGGTTTTAAAAACAAAATTAATTCCAAGCACCTGGATTAATTCCAATCTCTGAACTCACAGACAATACTGCAACAACCACACAAGTCTATTCCATTAAAGTGGCAATTTTTTCATAAATTCAAGAAAAAAAAACTGACAAGGCTGCTAGATGTTACCTGTAGTACTCATACTTGTCTTTGGAATACATAAGCTGATCAATGCAAGGCCTCTCATCTATTTTTTCCTCCCATGTTCCTTCTTTCCATCCTTCCGCGTAGCTTTGCAGGACATAAATCTGTTCAATAAAGGGCCCACCTGACTCTAAGCAGGAGGCAAAACAAAGTATTTACAAGCATGAAAAAACACGTGATAAAAGGCACAAAGTAGCATTACTCATCGTTACAAATCTACTGGAAATGCTAACATGACACTAGTCTCTCCCCCATGTTTCCCTATAAAAAAAAGAAAGGAAAGGGGATGTGGCAACATCTTACTCCTGCCTAGCTATGTGTGACTTATTGTGCCAACAGAAATGAATCACCAACAAAGTGTAACTTTAAAAGCTGGTTAAAACACACCTTCTGTAGAACAAAAAAAAAGCAAGTCCTCCTGCCTTTGTTCATATTCTTCCACGTGCTTTCTTTGCGCCTCTGTTTTCTATCATTAGATTATTTTTACTTTTGATTCATGTAAGGTTTGAGTTTGATTCTCTTTATAATCAGATGAAGCACAGAGGTTTTCGATGCCATGGTTAGCTGCTACAGGAAAAGTGCCTCTGGGAGAATGACGCACACAAGCCCCTCTTACCCTTCTTCCCCTACATTTCAGGGTTTCTAAATTCTTTGCCCTGAAAGGTGGTGGATAAGGATCCCTTCAGAGAGCTTTGCAGAGGTATGATGTTTGGTGGGTTTTATTTCCTTTGCTGAAGACGTTTGTGACACTTGCAGATTTTGGCACTTGGTGGTTAACTGTATGTGGCATTAAATCCTAAAGGAAGCAAACTCACTGTTTCCATGCTCTTAGGGAAAGTCTTACTCCTACAAACCATTTTGTACACAAAAAGCAGGGGAAGTGTATTTGGGTATATGTAGCATCAATGCTGAAAAGTCATTTCCCTGAAGATCCTACTTTACAGCCTTTACTGTTCAGCCATCTCCAGAAAAAGGTGGCTTCTTTGTATTTTGCAGGCTGCCCCTCTCCCCCTACAGAGTTGTTACTATGGCCAAAATTATCCAGAGCTACCTGACTTTTTATGTGCACCTCTCAAGGGCCTATAGGAAGTCGAGGGAACAGAAGTGCTAAATGGTGAGTCAAGTGATCTGCCAAATAATTTGGTTATTTTTTCCCCAAATCAAATAATTTGGTTATTTTTTTGTCACTCAGCATGATTCATTACCATTCCTCTTCCTGCCACCTTTAACATATTTTATTTCACATGAATAAGGATAAAAGCACATGTAAGGACAAACCTGTGAAGAAAACACCTTAAATGTTTAGTAAATTGTAGATTGTATTATTCCATACTTTACCTGCAAGGAATTGCTCATATTCAATGACAGGGATGTTCCTGTTGAGGCTTGGGATATCAAAAAACTCAGACCAAGGGATTCGAACCTGAAGAATGTCTGGGCTCTGCCAGTGATAAAGACGTCCCCAAGGAGGCAGAACTAACACCCAATTTTCACTTTTCAGCAAAGTCTTTAGGAGTGAAGCGATACGAATATAGACATCTCTGCGAAGGTTGAACCCTTCAGGAGGATTTACGTCATACAAAAGGTATCTGGAGAGAACAAAACAACATCGTAACTTCAGGCAATCACGTGGCAAGACTAACAGGAGGGAAATTCTTCCTCTTTCATGAGTTTGTGGTATTCAGGAGATGGAAGGGAGTGGAACAAGGCCTTCTATGTGCCCAGGAGCCCATCTCCCAGAGGTGCTGCCAGCTGCTGCACAGGGGGACCCAGGGTACCCCCTGGGCACTATCACACTGCTGACAACTTCACAGGACAAGCAGAGACAGTGAGGGAGGGGGCCCTGACCCAAGGGACAGCTCTGGCTGGGCCAGGGTGGCAGGCACTGCCTCAGAGGGTGGGCTGGGGATGACGGACTGCTCCTCACCGGGTGCGTGGTGCAGCAGCAGCAGCGGGCAGCGAGGTGATGGTGTGGCCAGCACGGAGGGCAGCAGGCGGCGGCTGGGCAGTGGCGGGCGGCGGGTGGGCCAGTACAGCCAGACCAAGCAGCAGCAGCAGCAGCAGGAGGTTGGGGTCGTGCACTGCCATCGCTGCACCACGTTGGGGTGGCTCCTGCAGCAGCCTGGCCCCAGCCCCTCAGAAGAGGCCTGCGGTCAGGGGCCGGAGGTTGGTGCCCATGAGCTGGTTCAGCTTCTCCAGGATCTCCTCCTCCTTCTGGTACATCTGCGGGAGGAGAGCAGAGGGGAGAAATTGGCTGCTGAGTAACCAGGGCTGAACAGCGGAGCCGTGGCTTGCAGTGCCTCAACACCTGTGTGACAAGCAGCACGACTGCACCAACGTACACCAAAGCTCTCTGGAGCCGTCCATGACGAGCAGGGCTTGGGGGTCACTCCCTCACGGGAGGTATAAGAAAGGGAAACCCTTTCGTTTTTGTGATGGTGCCAGACCTGACAGCGTTTGTGCACCATGCATGCTCCCAAAAGTACCTGTTGCCACTCCGACTTGGTGTTGTGCTGGTAGCCGAGCAAGTGGCACAATCCGTGGGCTGCGGTCACCTGCGCGGGAACAAAGGGGAGATGTTACAAACCTGAGTTGCAAATCTAGAGAACTTCTTCACGGTGAGGGAGCACTGGGACGGGCTGTGGCGTCTCCTAATCCGGAGATACTCGAGGCTTGGCTGGACGCCTGCTTTGGCAGGGGGATGGGATGGGTGCTCCCTCGCCGTGCCGTCGGGGCTCACCGTCAGGACGCCCTCCAAGTCCTCCCCGGCAGCGTGCCGCGCGATGTACTCCACCCCGAGGAAGACGTCCCCCAGGTGGTACTCGTGGCGGCAGCGCGGCCGCGGCAGCTGGCCGGGCGCCAGGCGGTGCGCGGGGAAGGACAGCACGTCGGTGGGCTCGGGGCGCTGCCGGTAGGCGCCGTTCAGCCTCCGCATCAGCCCGTCGCCGGCACACACCAGCGCCACGTCGAAGCGGGAGGCGCCCAGCGCGGCCAACAAGGCGCTGAGGGCGCGGCGCAGCGGGGCTCGGCGCAGGGGTACGGAGCGCTGCGCGTTGCGGATCACCAGGCTCATGGCGCCCGCCGCCCGCCGCCCGCTCCCCGCCTCCCCGAGACCCGGCGCCTGCGCGGCCCCGCCTCGCCGCCCCGCAGCCCGGCAGCGGCCGCCATGAGCGCGGGGCCGCCGTTCCGCGGCCCGCCCGCCTTCCCGCTGCGCTTCGGGCAGCCCGCCGTGTTCGGGCCGGGGGGTGGCGGCGGTGGTAGTGGGGGTGGGAGCAGCACCGGGCTCTCCTTCGGCCCCGCGCCCGCCGCCTTCGGGCAGCCCTTCGGGCTGGGCCAGCCGCCGGCCTTCCCGGCGGGGAGCAGCTTCAGCTTCAAGCCGCCCACCAACCTCGGCGGCTTCGAGGCGAGCGGAGCTGGAGCCGGAGCCTTCTCAGCGCCCGAGTTCCGCTTCAAGACCCCCGACGCCTCCTCCTCTTCCTCCTCCTCCTCCTTCAAGCCGCTGCCGGGCGCCGAAGCCGAGAAGGGCCCGGCCGCCCCCGCCGCCTTCACCTTCTCGCCGCCCTTCGGCTTCAGCCCCGAGCCGCCGGCCCCGGAGCCGGCTGCGGGTGGAGGCAGCGGCGGCTTCTCCTTCTCCCGCCCCGCCGCCGCTGCTCTCGGGCGGCCGGAGGAGGCGGGCGAGGCGGCGCCCAAGGGGCTGAAGAGGAAGGAGGAGCGGGAGCGCTCCCCGCGACGGGCGGCGGCAGCCACCACGGCCGGGGCGGGGGGCAGCGGGCGGGCGGCGGCGGCCCCGCCGGAGAAGCGGGCGGTGCTGCTCAGCCGGCCCCGCGGAGGGGCCCTGTTCGGCCGCACGCTGCAGGAGGTGCTGCGCAGCCAGGGCCGGGGGCACCGAGACCGCGGGGACGCCGCCGAGCCCGAGCGGGGGGGCCCCGCCGAGGAGCCGGTGGTGGTGGTGGAGGGCAGGGAGCCGGCTCGGGCAGGTAAGGGGAGGGCAGGGCTGGGAGGTGGCTGAAGCCCCTTCCCCAGAGCATCCTGACCTCCGTGTGGCACCCGCTGTCTTTACAGATGTCCCTCCGGGCAGCGCTGGGCGCAGGGTGAGGAGCAGCGAGAGCACGGATAGCATGGGGGGCCTGGCACCCGGAGAGCTCACGGCCATCCAGTGCAAAAACATCCCCGACTACCTCAACGACAGGACGGTGCTGGAGAAGCACTTCGGGCAGTTCGTGAAGGTGCGGCGGGTCATGACCCGGCGCAATAAGAAGATGGCCATCCTGCACTTCTTCGATCATGTGAGTACTGCCAGGGAGCAGCTGGAAATCAGAGCTCTGGGGTGCCCTTTATATCAGACCCCAGTTTTATCAGGCTCCACGTCCTTCATTTGGAAGTTAACACCGAGGATTTGTTGCATCACGGGTATCACAAAAGAGACACCAAGCGGATCTTCGCTATTTACAACCTGTATTCCCGTGCCACACCAGCCTAAAGTTACGCTGCTGGGTCCTTGGCAGCACCAAGGGCACAGTGATCTCAGCAGAGCGCCCCGCTCTTTGGAAATGCTGCCCTTTTGTTGGCATCCTCAGTCTCGCCGTGCTCTCTGCTTTCTCTTACAAAAGCAGTTAACTCTCTTTGTGGAAGCCTGCCCAGTCCTGCTAGTTGCTCGTAGGTCTTAGGCAACAGGTTAAAATGCAGAACCCAGACTGTTGTGGGAGTTCATAAATGCTTTTTTTTTTTTTTTTCTGGCAGAAGTTGCACTGCAGTTTTTGGTGGTGTCCTGCTAATAGGCTTTCTCGCTGTTTTCTTCCAGGCCTCTGCTGCCCTTGCCAAAAAAAAGGCAAAAGAGTTGCACAAAGACATAGTAACATTCTGGCAAAAGAAGAAAACAAGTAGGTCTCTTGTTACTAGATATGATAATTGGATGATACGTAGTAAATGGTGGCATCTGCTCTGTTCTTGTTTTCTAATGTACTGAGGACTCTACAAAGATGATCTCCAGAGTTGGAGTGCTAGAGGTCCAAAAGCATGGCAGTTCTCTCTGGCTTCTAGCAAACTTTTGGGTGCCCAGAGCTTCTGTGAGTGCTGCAAGTTGTTAGAGAAGTATAAAAATAGTTGTCCTGTGTTCTGTTTGACGTCCTGACTAGTTCTGTTTCTGGCAATGGCAGTTAGTGCATGTGTAGGGGAGAGAGCAACAGCAGTTTAAAGCATGGAATTGCTTCCAGAATAACTTCTCGACCGTTGGACAGCTGAGATAGCCTTCTCCTGTCTCCCACCATTCCTGGGAGCCAATCTTAGCCCACAAAGAGTTTTTCTCATATAAAGTTACTCAGTTGCTTTTTGAGCTGCACGAATATCCAGCATCTGTAGGATTGTCTTCTAGTATTGAGGAAACTTTAAGTAAGCAACTGCAAGTCATAGTTGGAAATAAGGTGTAGAAGTAGGGAGTTTTTCAGGGGTGTAAGAAAGCGCAGTTTCTAATGCCTCTCTGCCCAGAGCGGACTGAGATGTGGGCTTGCAGCTTTCAGAAGTGTCCTGAGAACAGAGTTACCAAGTACTCAGGATTGAGTGTCTGTCTTGCTGGGACTGCTTTTCTGTGTATAAACAACTGTATATTGCTTAAACCACAAGGAAGGAACAGTGTGCATGGCTGGCTTACAGAGAACTGAGTTGTAAATGGGAAACGTGAATTCCAGTCCTTGCTTGTGAATAGGATGAAATGACATGTGAATGCTGGCTATTTGCCCCCCTAGGTGAATGTCTGAATTGCCAGACGCTTGCTTCCCTTTCTTTAATTTTATGAACGCTGCCTGTGTAGTTCTGAGATTGTGCCCTGGGGATATGTTTCAGCTGTCAGCAAGTGAATGGTTTGCCACAGCTTTGACCAACCCAGAAACTTGCCTTTGTAGAAAATGAACGGCTGTAGAGCTGTCTGAGAATAAACGTCTGGAACCAGCATCTATAAGGATGCCTCTGTCGTGTTATTGTGGCATTAAAGTCTACAGAAATGTAAATGGTAATATTCTGAAATAGCTAGTCTGAGAAAATTTAAGAAATCCAAATAGCTGAAAATTTCTTCGTGGGAGAGGGTGTTCTCTGTTTCTGCAAGGTGTAGACTAGGTACTTGGGAAGCCGTGCCAGCCCTAGTCTTAGCTTGGATATGTGAAAATAATTACTAAAATGCTTCATGAGCACTAAAAATGCTCAGACAACTGTGGTTTACGTTGGTGAAATGGATTGAATTACCTAGTAAAGAGCTGTGACTTGTGGATTATACCCCAAATCTAAAAGAAATCAAATTCAGACTATGACCAGACTTCATTTACTGATGGTCTGCTGAGTAACTACAGTTACTGCTGAGCAGTGATTTAATAATGCTTTTTCCTTATAGAACACTGAAGCTGACTAGTGAGTGGTAGACTTGGTACAGCTTCTAGTGCAAATTTCTTGCAAGCATTGTGTGCCTGCATGAAGCCGAGACTAAAAATGTTATCAGAAAACAAAACCAACTATTGATCACAACCAAGGAGGGAAAAAAAGCTGTTGATACAATTATTTGCCAAGTATCCGCCTTCATGTTTATATGTTACTTCAGGTCCTGCAAAAAGAGAATTCTCATCCAAGGAGAAGAAAGCAGGTGAAGATGAAGAAAGGCAAAACAATGAAGAGCAAAACTACCAGCATTCCCCACTTAGGAAACCTTTAATAAGATCCTCTGCCAGTGCTGTCATGTCTGGTAAAAGGTATGTCTCTTCAGCTTCTTCAGGCCTTTTACTTCTGTCTGCATATTTCACTTGAATACTTTGTTTGTTACAACATGAGCAACAGCTGCAACAGCAAGGCATAAGGAAATAGTGAAACAGTGCAGAGCCCAAGTAGGACCAAGGGGTGATGACCGTGTTGAGTGGTCTCAATTAAATTGGTTTCTGAGGTGAATAGTTTTGTTTGTGCGCAAATATTTCTGTGTAATGAGTTGCCTTTTTGTGATAGCTGGTGAGTTTGGGGCATAATCTTTTTGCAGTTCAAAACAACAGGCTTTTTACAGGAGGTCTTTGCTTTGTTTGAGGTGCTGATTCTGCAGTCCTGTGATTTTTCTGTGCTACTTCAATGATGTGTCTAGTTGAACAGTGGTTATCTGGTATGCATTATCATACAGCTATAAAATTATTAATGTGCTGTAAAAGAATGAATGACTGTTCCTTGAATATGTTCATATCTAGGCCATGTAAAATCTTTTAATGATCCCTGTTGCTATAAAAGGCGTTCCCTTTTTTTCACAGCAAACAGCAGGCTAATTCCTAGCTTGAAATGCCAACTGCTGGGCCTTGGAGTGATGGGTATAGATGCATACTCTGTTTACTTGATACATTGTCCTGTGTAAATACTAAAATGCTGTTCTAAACAGAGATGTCAGTGCCTTGACGAGTGTAGTGGCAAGGTCAGGGCATGTATAGTGTAATAATGATTTAAAAAATCTCATTTTTAGCTCTCCAGCTAAGAAGCCTGGTCTTCGGAAGGCGCTGCAGTTTGAAGCAGATCTGTTTGATACTAGTTCTGAAGGGCAGAACTCAGAGGCTACTTCATTATCATCTCTCAGTAACCTGATCGGGTTAGTGGCTGAGACATCTGAAGAAAGATACCGTCTTCTGGACCAAAGGGACAAAATAATGCGACAAGGTACTGTTATTAATTACAAAAGCTCATGAGTTTATCATCAGCTTCTCTGCTGGGAAGAAATGAGTGCTTGATGTCTGCAAAGCTGTTGTAATGTTATGGTAATAGCTTTGAAATGAGACTAACATGGAACAGTCTGCAAAGATAGTCTTCTATTTTAATGGGTTGTTGTTCTACAGGAAATTAATGTATACAACAGAAATCTGTTTCTTATTGCACACGTGTATTTCTTGTGGATAGTGAATAGCAGACTGTTCATCTCTGAAGGAATTTTTGAGTACTTTGGGGTCTATTTTGAGTCCTGGCAAAATGATCCCTATTAGTAACGGGAGGAAAATCAACAGGGACAAGGTCAGCTAAGCCACCCCATGTAACTGCATCATCATGTGAGACTGGCTTGCTAAATGCAGGCCTTGGTTTCCTTAGCCCTAGGGGAGGCTGTGT